AAAAAAAAAAAAAAAATAAGCAGTATTGTTTCTATAGCTGTTATAATTAATAACAAAGATAGCAAATGAAGATAGCAGGGCATTAAATATTTTCTCAACATACTAAGTAGTATAAAAGCAAACATGTAGTAGAAATTTCTTTTCGGTAAGTACTAACCTTTTAAGATTGGGCGTGTATATAAACACTTGAAAACTCTGGAAGACTTTAGTTTTGTTTTCCCAAATGGTTCATATTAACAGCTCTCATTTGTGTTCTGTAGTCAGGTGATATGGAATATCATATTTTCACACAAATAATGCATGCCTTCTATGTTTGTTTGCCAACTGCATCCTTCCTCTTTGAGATATTTTCCTAAGCATGCTATGCTAATTTTTTTACAGCAACATGTAAAATAAATTGACATAGTGACGCTTAAGACAATAGCTTGCAGGGAGGGGGGGCTGTTGGCAAACAAACATAGAAGGCTCGCACTGTTGCGTAAAAATATGGTATTGGGGAAACATAGAACATGAAAGTAGTAGAAAGCCCATTGGTATATATGCAAGCGATTAAATCGATGTCACTGTAGAAATTATTCTTAGGTAAATATCAAGCTTTCTAGGATTCACCATGCTGCCCACCTCTTGCTATTTATGGCATTATTTATTTAACAGTTGAATAGCTCCTATTATAAAACCTTACAGAGTCTAAGTATGTGTATGTCACAGTTTTGCCTCAAAATGGGGAATTAAAGCCTCACTGCCTTCAAGATAGGCCTTTTTAGGTGGCATTTGTCTTCTGTTGGCTTCCGTAAGCCGTTCCTGTGACCCCTGATGCTGTCTTTCTTTGTTCCAGGTTCCCTCGGGCACTTGCAGGCCTGATGTTCCAGAATCCCCTGACTCTCGTCAGAAGTCACCATTGTTTCAGTTTGCTGAGGTGATGTATTGCAACTTATACTTAATTAATAATGAGGAAATGTAAATGTAATGTAAAGCAAGCTTTAATGTGGGCTATGACACTAACTGAATGCATTGAAGACCTCCTCTCAGCTTAGTTAGTCGTAAATGGGAAAATAGAATCGAATTTTGGAAAAGACATTTTGGAACGCCAGAGTCTCTTAATTGAGTAATAACTAGTTATGTTTATAGAAGCTTGTTGTGAAGACATACTAAGTATTATTATACTTCATCACTAGTTTTTATTCATAGGTAATAAGCTTAAGAGTATAACTGAATTATTGGAACTTGGTCATTCATCAGGTTTTGATCTTGATAAATCAGAAGACAGAATCAACTTGTAGTTATTGGCTGTACATCACCCCTCCCCCACCACACTCATGAACTCTTTTTCCTCTTCTCTTAATTGAAACACTAGTGTGCAATTGGGGCAGTTTTCATAGTCTTGTGTCAGACTGCTCAGCTGAATATGTCTCTGGCACTGGTTCAAAGAGATGGTGTGGAAAGGGACATTTTCCTTGATGTCGAGTACAGAGGTTAGGGCTGCTTCCCAGATATCTTCATTTACCCTAGAACTCAATGTGGAGCTGTCATTGATTAATTGTTTCTAGACTTTAATCCGTCTGGTCTTCCTTGATCGTTTAAATCGCCTCTCACCAGACCTTCTTTAGCACTGTCGTCCTGCCTGAGGTGTGCCCCCATGATATGGTTTTGTCCAACGGGAGCATATTTTTAGTTTGTTTTTTTTTCACCTCTAGTGCCCTTCCTTGTTTTCCTCAACGTTTTGTTTGCAAAACTACTTTGTACACTGACACCTTAGGCCATTTCTTTAAGACATGGATTATATTACACCTAAATGCCTTGCTCATATCACCAGAATGTTAGATATTTGCTTACATGATACTCCTTATCTACAACTTCCCTTTCTGCCTCTGTGTGAGAACTGCCATGAATTTGCTTTCTGTGTTATTTCTCAAGAATTTAATATAATACAGGATTCCCTCTGCACTTCTTTTTTGACAGAAATTATAAACGTATTAAATACTGGTCTGAACTTAACCAGCGATCCTTGAACCCCTAAAGATCTAATGAAATCTCTAAAGTTTCATGAAATATTGGGTGTGTTGGCATATGTGCATCATCGTGGGTTTTATAGTACACCTAAGATTCCAAGGAGATCTCTGACCTTACTTAGTTTATATAAGTGGTCCCTAATCTAATCTTCTTCCAGCAGCTCCCAACTCAGGTCATTTACTTGAATGTCTCCTTTACCCTTATATGAATTTATAAAAACATCCTTTTCCTTAGAACTTGTGAAATGCTTTTCAGACATCTAAACGGATTAAGCCACTGGTTCTATTTTGTTCACTGTCTATTTTAATCCTTGAAGAAATACATTGTCAGTTGGGCATTTCCCCTTACATAAAGTGTTTATTTTCTCTAATTTTTGTAGAGGATTGATAAGAAGGAAGAGTAATGTATGAAGTAAGACCTACCCAGTTTATAACGCCCAGGACGTCAGAAAAATCCTTGTGGATTCATGTTCCCAGTCTGTCAGGTTTGCACAGGGTGGTCACATGAAGTGATAGGTTTCATGGTTTGACCAATAAGAGTTCCACACTTTCACCCCTGAGTGTCTTCAGAACACTTGGATAAATCGTAACCATTCACAATAATATATTTATATCTAGTTTGTTAACTGGAATCTGAGAGATCTTTTTAATTTTATTGATACTCATTCTTTTGAATCTGTCTAATTCAGAAGATACAGTGGAGTAAAAATGTTCCTAATAGTTTCAACAGTGAACAAAATCAATAATTCAATTTCTCTACCAGTTCTTTCTCATCCCTCAGTGTTACTTAGATACTGTATCACCAACTGGCCCCATTGTTTTCTTAATTAATTAAGATGGAAAAAAAATGATTTTGTAATTGGAGAATTATGATAATGCTGCATTTATTGCTTAGTAATAAGCAATAGTTTGATAGAGTTGGTGAGCTCAGATAATGAAGAAAGAGACTTTTGTGGGCCTGGGAATGTGCTGAAGTTATAACGCCTAGGATTTCTGCTCTCGTGACACACTTTCACCCTATTTTGTAGCTGGATAGAAACTTCGTTCACTTTGGAACTAAAATTGATAACTGACCTTGCTCTAAAGAAAAATCCTTGAGAAGTATTTCCACATGGCCCATGGAGCGAACTTTTAGTGAGGCCACCGTAACTACCAAGTGGAAACGAAAGATCTCTACTGGCTGAATGAGTGTGTCAAGGAGAGTCCTCTCTCCACTGTCAGACACCTAAGTGTACGTGTTTGTGTTGGGTGGCAGAGGGCATGGTGTTATAAAAGAAAGAAATGCTGTTCATATTCAGTGAACAGTTTTATGAGTTCTGGTGCCATGCCAGTCAATGTATACTATGGCTTATTTTCTTCTCACTACAGTCCTGTCAGATGGGGTTATCATCATCATCATCAGTTTACAGTTGGGAGAAATCAGTCTCAGAAAAGTTAAGTGAGCTGCTCTAGGTCATGTAGGGGGTAAGTAGCAGAGCCAAGATTCAATCCCAGATACGCTGACCCACATCACATGTGTCTCCAAGGCTGTTTCACAGCTGGCTTGGGGGAGTGGTATAGAGAAGAGAGTGACTGGCTTTACTTGTGGCCTCCCGCTTTTATTGAAATAAGGAAATTCGTCTCAATAAGTCTCCTTATCTGCTGTTTGATACATGCCTGATACCCTTACAGGGACATGGCATATGAGCCAAACTCAGTCTTTTTGTTTTTTCCATCATCTGTTTTTAGAAACATGGCCTTTGTCTTCCTTTGTCATTTGTATTGTTCTTCTAAAAGAGATTGAGGGTGATGATTCATGTCTTAATCTTTATCAGTGTCTCCAGTGGAAATACATGGCAGAATCTGATTGTCTGATATGAGAAAATGTTCTTGTGTATTAAGAAGTACTTGTTCCCTTTCAGATATCTTCAAGTACATCCCACTCAGATGTGCCCTCCAAACAGTGTCAGGCATCAGCCTTGCTTCAGTTTGCAGAGGTATGACCTTCTTTTTTTTTTTTTTTTTTCCTTTTCTTAATACTTATTGGGTTCAGAAGGCTTGTTGGACTCAGGAAATATTGAAATGGAGTTTTAATAAGGTACAGTAAACTTTTTAGTAGCCCTGGTGGCACAGTGGTTAAGCACTCAGCTGCTAACTGAAAGGTTGATGGTTTGAATCAACCAGCCGCTCCGTGGGAGAAAGATGAGGCAGCCTGCTTCCGTAAAGATTACAGCCTTGGAAACTATGGGACAGCTAGCTCTACCTGTCCTATAGGGCTGCTATGAGTCCATATTGACTGAACGGCAATGGGTTTTTATAGTAAACTTCAGGCATGGCATGCCTTCTGCCATATTAACACAGTACACATAACAGGATATGCATTGCCTTTTGCTGCATTTGGTGTAGTAATCATAGTCTAGTCAGCTCCAGATCTACCCATTTTATAAACATTCATTAAAGAGTTCACTCAGAATAGACAAGTACCGGTAATTCATTTATTTCATTTTACCCCGGTTTTAAAAGCTTGGAAAAACTGCTGTCACATGAAGTTCAAAGGATTGCAATTTATTAAATTTTCCCAGTAGTTAAATTAGATGCTGTAGTTCATGAATAATACTCTCACAGCAGATGCAGTGGTAAATACGACTCAGCTTTTAGTGTGATGTAGCTTCTGCCAGTATTTTTATTAGTGTTTAATCCCAGACTTAGGTCAGGTCAGCTCTTATAGGGTCTGAGATTTCTTTGGTTTGTCAGCCAGAGTGTGAGGGCACGCTAGAAAGCATTTCCTTGGTTGGTATGATGAAGACGAAAATCTGATATGCTTGATTTTTGCCAAAAGCTCTGGTCTCAACCATATGCTCATTTTAAAGTGCCATGTGACAAATAATAAAATATATACAGTTAATGAAAATAAGATGATGTCTGCTTTAGGTCTTGCCCCTTTTCCCTCCTTACTAATTCCAACAAAAAATGCACATCACAAATGAAGCAATTTTTATAGGATTGATAGGAAATGGCAAGCAAGACTGCTCTGTTTAATATTGATGAATTAAATTACTTTGATTCATTGGAATGAAGAGTGCTACATAAATGCAATGTAAAATGATAACCTTTTGGCAGGAGAAAACCCAGCATCTTACTTTGAAAATGAGAAAAAATTACTTTCAGCTCTTACATTTAAAAAAAAAAAAAATGCTGCTCTCTCTTGGGATACTTTTGTCAATGCCTGTGGTGTCACACCAGCCGTTGGCCTGTTTGTCTCTTAGGCTTTTGTGCCACGGTATTTGCTTTAGCTGATGAGGGCTATTCTATAAAACTGGTAACAAAAATACCATATAATGTTATCATTTCATAAAGAACAATCTGCTTGATGAATCTGAATAAATTAAGATTTTATTATAATTTTCCATTATGTTAAACAGGCTGTTATTTTTACTGTCTGGGGGAAATAGTTTTGTTCAGTACTTTCTTGCTTTCCTTCAGTTGTTGACGCCAATAATTTTTTCAAGGGTTAAAAATAATTTGGCGTGGTGACTATATTTATTTTTGATGTTGATATCTGAGCCACTCCCATCCAACATTTCCTTCAAAACAGAGTCTATTTACCATATAATCTGTTTGATTAAATTCTACACTCTGTAGCGTGAATATTAGAAAAGTAACAGCTCATCTTTGACACACCTGATATTTAGGTATGCATCAACTACTGATATAGTTAATTTAAAACGTCAGTGTTGGATATCTCATCTCTTGCATTCCTAACAGTTAATACCACTCAGAACGTGATTAGATGTTACTTAAGCCATTCCATCATCAGATTCATTGTTGTTGTTGGGTGCCATCAGTCGATTCCGACTCAGGGCAACCCCATGTGTTACAGAGTAGATCTGCCCCATAGGGTTTTCTAGGCTGTAATCTTTACGGAAGCAGATTGCCAGGCCTTTCTCCTGCAGAGCTGCAGGGTGGGTTTGAACCATCATCCTTTTATTTAACAGCTGAACACTTAACCGTTGTGCCACCAGGGCTCCTTCTTCAGATTCCTTAGGCTCTCCCAAAGCTCTGGGTCAGCCCTGAGGGGTAAGTCTGGTGCTATAACTGTGCTGTCCTGTGATTCTGGAGAATAAGACCCCATACTTCTCTTAAAAAATGAATATGTTCTCACTGTTCAGTACACACACTAAAAACACAAGACCAGTTGCTGTCCAGTTGTGTGCGACTCATGGTGACCCCATGTGTGTCAGAGTAGAACTGTGCTCTGTATGGTTTTCAGTGGTGATTTTTTTGAAAGTAGCTTATCAGGCCTTTCTTCTCAGGCACCTCTGGATGGATTCAAACCTCCAGCCTTTTGTCTAGCAGCTGAGCATGTTAACTGTGCTACACAGGCAGTAAAATAGAATAGGCTTACAATTGGCTATAATTATTACGATCATATTTAGTCTGTAACAGAGGTTTTCAAGCTTTAAAATGCAGAGAGTCCTGGGCTCCATCCCCAGAGTTTCTGATTCATTAAGTCTGGGTTGAAGCCTGACAATTTTCATTTCTACCAAGTTTCCTATTAGGGGACCACACTTTGAGAACCATTACTCTCTAGTTTGGTTTATGACCATAAATTATTAAATCATTATTGTTAAGGCACACCTTAGTATTTCTGGGGCCTCATGGGGGAAGGGTGGACAGGACGGGATGGGGTATAACAGAAAATTACCCAGTGGACCACTTTATACCCCCATCCCTTTTCAGAAGGGTCCTCTGGTCTTATTACCTACACTTACAGAAAGTAATGTAGGAAACAGTTCACTCCTTAAAAGTATTTAATTTTGTAATATCACTTTTAAGATAGGGCATGCAAAATTCATGGAGCCCATTCCTGCTAATTTCATTTACAAACTTGTGTAACTCTAGAAAGAGATTAGATAGATGATCTCTTGGAAATGGGTCATTTATCATGCAATATACTTATCCTAGAAATATGCTTTTTAAAAAACAGTAAGCTTGGGCATTTCTTCAAGCTGAAAATGGTTTTTCTTTTACATTGAGCCCTGAGTCTCTGCTTGCAAGCTGAGAAGGATGTTTTTTTTTTTTTCTCTTCTTAACCAAGTTTGATAGTTTTAAAGCCCATTGAAGTTAACCTAGATGGAGTCATGAAACTGAATAAAGCAAACTTGGTTTGTAGTTTCCTCATAAATGTTTAAATGTAAGGGGAGAAAGACAGATCTGTGTTATAAGATGTAGAAAGAGCAGTACAGAGCTCAGTGACTGTTTCCACCTGTCTCGGCCTGTCGCCCACTCCTTTGACACTCACATTTCATCTGCTACACTTTGGCCCATCTGAAGAGCCATCACTGTGTATCCAGGCTCTGATCCATCAAGTTGGTCAGAATGAATTTTCTATCTGCATCTTTTGTTGGTTACAGGTAGAATGACACACCAGTCACTTTTTAGATCTCGTTTACTGAAGACTAACAGTTAAATATAATGCCAGGAGGCAGCTATCGTCTTCATTATTTAACAGGGCTGAATGCCATGACCAGTCCACAATTCTCTTCTCTGCTGTGTGTCCTACTAGGCCTAGAGTTTATCTTTGCACTGAAAACTTGCGTATTTACTTTGAGGACAGAGAGCTAATCTGGATGATTTAGACAAACAGATTTGGACATTATAACTTTCCTTAGTAAGGTATTTACTCTGCCAGTGTAAATACAACCATAATCTCACCAAATTTAAGGTATTGTCACAATTGGATATGCATAACAGGTGCAAATTTAAAGCATTCGTTTTCATGATGGAGTGCTCAGTATGTTATGGATATTATACTGGATAAAAACACCATATACTCACACTGCAGCTAATCAGTGAAAGTATTTGTTTTTTACTGGAAACATTAATATTTCTTCTTAAGGTAGGGAATGCCAGTCATCTTCATATTATTCATTTGTTCTTTGATTCATTTATTCATTCAATTATTGGTCATTTTATCCCAGGCTGCAGGTTTATGTTTATCCTTCATAATTGCAAAAGGCTTCCACCATTACCTAATTGGCTTCTAATCTTTACCATCTGTTTCCTTGGTGTGCTTACCCACCTCAGACAGCTATAAAATTAGCAGTTTAAAATCGACAGTGATATTTTTTCTTAGCACTTTTGCTGTACCTCAAGTACTATTACACCCACCCTTTTTGTAACCTTTATGGATGAACATTGTTTATCAGAACAGTATGTAATAGCCAAAAGAGAGAGACTGCAGTGGAGTTAACAGATTGGCAAGCACCATCCCATCTGAGAAAGAAAGCATAGCCTCGAATATACTATGCAGTGTGCCCTACTAGCGCCCCCTGGCCAGGAGTGTAGCATAGCACCCTTCCTTCCACTAGCTGACTAGCCATTAAAAATACGTTAATTATATTGTTCTTGTTTGAATGGATGCGTATGTCTCTTAAATAGGAAGAAAAAATTAAGGAGGTATAACAGATCAGTATCGTACAAGACATGCTTGTAATTAAGCCATCAGAGTAGATGAGACTACTGAGAAAAAATGTGTAACATAAAAAGAGAGGTCTAAGGCAAAACCCTGAAGAAAACCAACATTTAAAGGATGACTATAGAAAGAAGAAAGGAGCTCTGATGGCCCAGCTGTTAAGCTCTGGGCTGCTAACACCAAGGTTGATGGTCCAATCCCATCCATTCACTCTTCCGGAGAAAGACCTGGCAAAGGTCTTCTAAAGATTACAGCCTAGAAAACCCTATGGGGCAGTTCAACTCTGTCACATGGGGTTACTATGAGTCTGAATCAATTCAACAGTACCTAACATGAATCGATTCAACAGCACCTAACAACAATAACATAGAGAGCAGAGCCCCAAAAGAGAGCGGCAAGGAGTGGCCAGGGAGGTAGGGGGACAAGGACTCTTTGGTGATGGAAGCCCAGGGAAGCAAAGACAGCCATAGAAATTAACATAGGTCCAGTTTTTCATCCCCCTCCCCCCCAAAAAAAATGAAGCCAAGAAGGCTTTTTAGAAAGCATATATGGCCACTAAGTCATTTCGTGGATGTTTTATTGTTAGATGATTCTGGAAGTGTTTGACTGCTAAACCACGTGGAACCTTCCCCTCACACTCTCCTGTAGTTTAGGAGTCAGGCTTCCTTCCAGCAGCTTTGAGCATTTACAATACTGCTGTGTACCTAGAAACAGGTGAAAATCTTCCCAGAGACAATAAGAAAAAGTGGTCTTACTAAGCATAAGCAGTTCCTCCAGAGTGGTAGGGAACCATTCTCAAGCCTCTACTCAGATCACTGTGCACTGACTCTGAGAGTAGGTCCTGCCTCCGTGTGGACAGTAGTTCTTCCCTGAGCCAGTCCGTGTGCCACACACCACGTGAGGCAGGGAATAGTTGGTAATGAACAAGCGAACACAGCATCAGGGAGCACGGACCGGAGCAGCAAAAGCGACAGCAGAGGGAGCCAGTGGAAGAACTAGAAAAACACAACACCGTGGTCTGTGTAGGGCTTCCCAGTTTGTCCTTCAGTAACTCTAGAGCGTATGGCTTTATTATGTAACAAAGTCAATATTCTACAAATTATTAAATTTAATAATTAATAATTATGATCCTCAGACATTGCAGTTTTTAACTCCATTTGATTTCAGTATGTAACTCATTTTTGGAATTGTACTAAAAGGGTTTATGTTTACTAGTGTTAATAATGATAAGTCATTATTACTAAGAATCATATCATTTACTGAGAGCATAGCATGGACTCTGCACTCACAAACATCAAATCTAATCTTCACAACAGTAATACAGGGCCGATATTGTTGTTTCTATTTTGAAGAGGAAATGAATGCATAAGTCCACACAGCAAAAAGTTAATGAAGCCATGTCTGTCTGACACCAAAGGCCATGTCCTTCTGTTATACAGCCTTGGTTCCAGGGGTTGGTGTTTATGTTCAGTGCCTCATTCCCTTACGTTGCTGAGAGTCAGCAGTATTAATGTGTTTGTTTTCTCTTAGTCTAGAGATAAGATGAGTAATTGAATTCAGCTTGTCTAGAAAAGGTAGAAGTGGCATTTGTCAGTGAAAATTCAACTAGAAGAAAATATTCCAAGCTTCAGAAAGAATGAGCCCCATAAGTTTATCTTCTAAAGAAAAAGTAAATGAGTGAGATGAATAGGACACGACTCTATTAAAACTGATGGTACCTAGGAGGAAATGTTCTCCTAACCTTCTTGAACTTGAACCTTCTAAATGGCCCAGGTAGCTTTTGAATGTCTCCACAAAGTCCTCTTACTCAGCAGATATTCTAGGGAGAGGTCCCTACAGCCAGCAGCCTTGGGCTGACAACTCCAGAATCCCCTGTGAGATTTGGTGACGTAGTGGTTAAGAACTCAGCTGCTAACCAAAAGGTTGGCAGTTCGAATCAACCAGCTGCTCCTTGGAAACCTTATGGGGCCGTTCTACTCTGTCCTGTAGGGCCGCTGTGAGACAGAATGGGTTTAGTTTTTTTTGTGTGTGATGATACAGCCACAAGGCAGGATTATCTCTGTAACTGAACCGAGTTCAGTCTTAAACCGAGAAAGGAGAATTCAGAATCCTGAAGAATGTAAAAAGCTTAGGCCACAGCTGGCTACTCTAGTGAAGACAGAACATCTGCATGAGAGGAATACTTTCTAAAGATACTTTGTAAAGGATACTTAAGTTCTTCTCAGGGCTTTCCTGAGTTAGGCATAAAATTAAAAATGAAGTTTTCATATAAAAATGAGAAAGGGTGGTGTACTGTTCAGTGTTATCCGTGTCCAGTTGCTGTTTAGCGAAATCTGTCAGGATAGTATGCAGTCAGTGTCGTGTTGTGTATACAGGTAGTCCTGACTTAAGACAGAGTTCTTTTGTGATGACTGTGTCAAAAGTTGGTTCTGATGTAAGTCGAATCCCTTTTTTTTTTTTTTTTTTTTGGTTTTCAGTATTATTGTCTTTTATCATGTCAGTATCTTTATAAATACAGTCTTTGAACATCTGTGAGTGAACAGCTGAGAATGATAACATTAGCAAATTATGCGCTGTAACATTGTATGTAGAAAATTACTTATAACTAATGAGAAGATGTCCAAAAAAAAAAAAGAAGACAGTTAAAAGTACAGTTTGTTGTAACTCAAATACGTCGTAAGTTGAGAACTACTGTATATTGATGTACTACAACGTTGATCCTTAAGTACACCACTTACTTAGATTTCCGATCTTGATTGTTAGTCTTTGTATGTACTTTAGAGCATACTCTCCTTAAAATCATGATCAATTTCTTATATAAAACTCATAGCTTCCCCAGCTTCTGTCATATTGCCTAGCACGTATGCATTGGATTCTCAAAGAAATATTTGTTGACTGACTTAATACTATCTTTTCACAGAGATCACAAATATATTCCTTAAAAATAATAATTGCTTTTGTAAATGCAAAATAACTCTCCAGCTCTTTTATATTTGGCCAGTTGATGAGTTGGTACATTAAATAGACATGGAAATTCATATCAAATTTAAAGGTTATGAAGTTAAATTTAAAGCCTGAAATGTGTAATCCACCAAGCCACGCTTGATTTCTTATTATTATTATTGTTTTGAGGTTATTTACTAAAAATGGTTCTCAAAATGATCATCCCAAACGTGACATAGATTTGAAGTTATTTTGGATTTGTGAGCAATGACATTCCTGTAAGCTGAGGAAAGTTTCTGAATGTGTATGAATGGTACCACAATTAATTTTGCTTATGTGAATTGTTTTCGATACAGATTTCTTCAAACACTTCGCAGTTGGGTGGTGCTGAGCCTGGAAAACGCTATGGGAAGTCTGCACTCTTTCAGCTGGCAGAGGTAATTTCTAAGAATGTATTCAAATAAAATCTAAGAAAAAAAATCACCAAAAATATAATCATAACAGTGTTCCTTACACTGTACCATCTCACCTATGACTATAAGGCACCTTATATCAAATTTTCAGCAATGAGAGAGTTAACCTTTAATTTAGGAAAATGGAATTTTGCTACTAAAAGTCATTAAGCATTGAAAAAGTTTAGTCAGAGATTGCAAAATCTTTTTCACAAGTAGTCTTTAAAAATAAGAGAAACTTTTGTCTCTTAGGTTGGCTAGATAAATCGAGCTTTGTGAATATAGAAGAATAGACTCATTTCCGTCTACTCTGATCCTCTTACAGTGTCTCTAAATCCCTAGAAGGCGCTATTTTTAAATCAGGTGGTTGGTGTTTTAATTTTTGTTTTTTAGCGAAGAACTCATATAACATGTTCTAAAATTTCTCTTTATAACACCTATCAGTTACACATGTGCTCTGACATCGATATAAAATGCTCACCATACCTTTTGCAGAGTAGAAAGTGTGCTTTCCTCAGGCCTCTATGAGGAGCCATGGCTCGGTGGGGGTGGGTTGGGAAGAAGGATGCCGGAAGTGGTTGTTGCTAGGATGGGCAAAAGCAGTGGCTTTCTCTGCCAGGCTGTGAGCTCTCTGCTTCATGGAAGTGTGCAGGAGAAATGTCTTTAGCACCTGGACACTCTAGTAGCAGTTTTGTCTTTTCATTAAACAAATTAGGAGGTACAAAATGGATGATCAGATCTCTTGTACTAAACTTTTTCTCTCTTTTCTTTGATTTTTCTGATTTCCTTCCAGTGAGTTTTCTCTGAGGTCTTTTGTGATATGGTTATTTAATAGATTCTTTGTAGTTCATTGAACCTTATGGATAGATCTGTGATTTATTAAATATTATGGTAGTTTGTATCATTAAAATTTAGGAGTTTTTAAAACACAGTGAGATACTACTTCATGCCTATTACAATGGCTAAAATCCAAAATACTGACAACACCAAATACTGGCAAGGATGTGAAGCAACGCGAACTCTCATTTATTGCTGGGGAGAATGCAGAATGGTACAGCCACTTTGGAATACAGTCCGGCAGTTTCTTACAAAGTTGAACATTGTCTTCTACCATCCAGCAATCACTCTCCTAGGTATTTACCCAAAGGAGTTGAAAACTTATGTCCACATAAAAGCCTGTACACAAATATTTATGGCAGCTGTATTCATAATTACCAAAAATTGGAAGCAACCAAAATGTTCTTTAATAGGTGAATGGATAAATTATAATACATCCATACAATGAAATGTTATTCAGTGATAAAAATAAATGAGCTATCAAGCCAAGAAAAGACATGGAAGAACCTAAATGTGTTTGCTAAATGAAAGGGGCTAGCCTTAAAAGGCTATACACCTATGACTCCAACCATATTTCATTCTGGAAAAGGCAAAAGATCAGTCCTGTCAGGGGTTCTAGGGGGTGGATAGAGGGAAGGAGAGATGAGTAGGCGGAGCCCAGGGTATTTTTAGGGCAGAGAAACTAGTCTGTATAAGACTGTAATGGTGGACACATGAAATGCATTTGTCAAAACCAATAGGACTGTACAACACAAAGAATGAACCCTAATGTAAACTACGGACTTTAGTTAATAATGTATCAGTATTAGTTCATCAATGGTGATAAGTGTACCACACCAATATAGGATGTTAATAATGGGGGAAACTGAACAGGGGGAGAGGGAGTATTTGGGAACTCCCTGTACTTTCTGCTCAATTTTTTCTGCTCCTAAAAAGTAAAATCTATTAATAAAAAATAATTAGGAGTTTTAAATATCTAATATCTTTAAATTAGGCTTGTAAAGGTTAGCCAGATTAAATTGCAAATATAAAAAATATGAAGACCCAGAATAGGAAAGAAGTATATGAACAGTGGAGCAAAGTGACCCATTTGTTGTCTTACAAGCAAGTTGATGTGCTTCTTGTGTAAGACAGATTCATACCTAAATAGAGGGCTACAAATTACTGGAAAACTCTAAGCAAAACCTATGAGGACAGCAGGGAATAGTTCTAAAAACAGAACTGGGTGAGTCAGTGGAAAAGTACTAATTCAGATACAACTGAAACAGTAAAGATCTGGCAAAGAGAGTACCTTTGGAGTGAGAGTTGTAACAAGTCTTAGTAACCAGAGAGACTCCAAGGTCTTGCGTTTTTCTAGTATCTTTAAGACTGTATAGACTGTCGAGACAATTTATTTTGAAAGAAGTGATTATTTTGCTTGAATAATATGACTATATGGCCCTCTGCTTTTTCTTGGTTATATAATTATCTTGAGAGAGAGAGAGAGAGAGAGAGAGAGAGAGATATATATATACACATATATATATATAGACACGCACACACACATATATATCAAGTATGTGTATATGTATATATACACGCATATATACACATATATACATACGTACAAACATGTTTTTTAATATTAAACAATACTAAATTGCAAAACAAACTTTCAGTATATAACTCGGCTTTCTTACAGTTTTGTGTTAGAAATGTATGAACCTTTGAGGTACTTTGTGCTGTGGGGGATGCTAAAGAGATGAATTTGTCTTTTCATTTTTTTCTTTGGAATAGCAGTCATTAAAAAAGGATTCCCTATTAAATCAGAGCTCATTAAAAAGAACACTCTTCTAATTTGTGGGGGTGCATCCCAAATATGAAACAGATGCTATGGTGTAACAGATGTTTGAATGCTGGTATCATAACTTAAAGGGGTAGAATGGCTGAAATAAGCCTATTCCAATTACAGCAAATCAGCTCTTCTCAGTGTCTTTAGCGTTCATGTAAAAATATATGCTTTTGATAAAACAGGGTAGCTAAAAAAATTTTATCAAGAAAATCTTAACGCTGTCATTTGCACTACATAAATATGATGTCATAATTCTAGTAGAATGTGTTTTGGATTAAAATAACATCCTGAAACCTCTCAGTTTCTAATTAAACATAAATATGAGCACAAGGGATTAATCAGCATCATCAAATAACGACAACTAGAAATATGCCTCCTTAATTTTTTTATTTTATGTGTATTTGATGTTTATTTTTCTTTAGCAAAATATAATATTTAGTTATTTCTGATGTTTCTTTAAATAAATAAATGTAGCAGGATATTGAGGGAGAAATTCCTGTTGCCCATAATTGCTGCTGTTTTCTAGAATCTGAAGAAACATCTTGAAACTCACACATTCCAAACGGAGAACTACCAAGAAGCCACCTCCACTTTAGGCCAGGCACTTTTCTTGGGATGTATTGAGATGTGACCTAATCTGAAGGTGGCCCATCCATCAATCCAGGGGTTCTTCCTCTCACCTCCACGGCCACCCCCAAGTCATCAGCTCGGGTGGGGGCCTATCATTGGGCTCTCTGGGGTTTTCTCTCTGTCCTGCGGAGGAAAAGAGGGAAGTACTTTCGTTCTTCCCCCTACCTCTGTCAAGTGCATGTAAGTGTCTTCTAGTTCTTTGGTGAGAAGCAAGAATGTTTTAGACAGTCATTGCTGCACCTTGCACCGATTTGGCTAGGGAGAAAGAGATTTGGAGGAAGTTGGCAGCAGGGAGGGAGAGATTTGAACCAGCCTAGACTGTTCAGTTTTGTCATTGTAAGGATGAATGAGTTTCCCAGGGGTCCAGTGGACAAATGGAAACCAGTTCAGCTTGATCAGCGGACAGCAACTAGGAGCAGGAGGCTATGAGCTAGGCAGGGAGCTGAGATTGGGAGGGTTGTCGAAGGGCAGACCTTGACAGTCTCTCACATCAGGCACCTTTGTGCGGGGCCCTCTAAACACTTCCATATGCAGGAGTTATCAGCTGGCTTGCACCGGTACAGCTGTCCTGCTACTAAAATACCAAAATATTTCTTGGCGTCAGTAAAAAGCCTGTGACCCAAACAGCCTGAGTGGACCCAGCTCCTGCCAGCTTCCCTGGGCTCGGCTGAGCTTCAGCAACTGCAGGGCCCTGTCCCAGTCCTGAGGCCGGTCTCTTCTGGCTAGCACTCCTTCCTGTTAAATATTCTGAATCCCACCCCTGTCCTTGGCGTCCGCTGAGGCTGGTCAGTCTTAGGCAGAGTTAGCAGCAACAAACCATTCCTCCTCGTATCTCCCAGCCTCAGAAGCTTTAGGCCTTGTGAAGGAAGGGCCAGCCAGGATCAAGCCCAAAACTAACCACTCACCCTTCCCAACTCCATCCCTGAGGGCTGGAGTGGGAGGAGGAGTAAAGGAGAAGAGCCCCCACCACCACCACTAAAGACAGGGTTAATTGCTGGCAAGAAATGCCTTCTCTTTGGTGATAAGCAAGAAATATTTTAGGCCTGTGTTTATTGCTGTGTCTGCACTCAACTAAGCAGGCAGAAAGAGAATTGAAGGAAGGTGGCAGCAGGGAGAGAGAGACTGGGATCTAGAGACCTACATTCTCAATTTTGGTATAGTAAGGGCGCCTCCCTACTTCAAGGCTCTGGAGCCAGGAGGTGTCCTAGGAGAGTGGGAATGCCCCGATTCAGGCATTTCATTGGCATTTTAAACTGAGTGGACTTTTAATAGTGGAAAGTGATCTGAAAATTCTGGAGTCTGTTCCAGGTATTTTTTAAGGAATCTACTACCCAGCCAGGAAGGGAATTTGGCATAGAGCTGTTGGGTTTAGGGAATTGAGAAAAATGCAGTGTTTTATGTTTCAACTTCATGAAGTTCATTCTGTTCAGTAAATCAGCTATTTAAGTTGTGCAGGTACTGTCATGCATTGTGCTTCCCTTGTTTTGACATTAATTAAGTCAGGTCATAAAAAGCACAGTGAAACATCCCCTCCTGGAGATTATTGGGAATTATAGTTGTGGGATGCTCTGAAGAGGGCAAGATACCTTAACATTTTAGCAAAGAAAATTCTACACTTGCAGCTCTAAATTGTCTAGTTTAACAAATGGGATATTCAGATGAACAGTGATTACTGAGGACCTATTAC